ACACACACACACACACACACACACACATACACACATGTGGTTCACATCGTGGTGAAATCATGCGCTTGCGCTCGTCAAAATAATGAAATTGAGGAAACCGACATTTTTTCGTCAATTTGGAATTTTTGTAGATAAATCTATACGAGCGCTCCAAACCTGCTGTGAGAAGACGGTCAAAGGCGTGATATCGAAACCGGGAATTCCCGTAAACCTACTTAATGTATAACTGAACACAAAATGTCCTTTGGCGCAGTCGGCACTGCGCACTGAATATGTACAATGTCCAAGCAAATGATGGCGATCGCTACAAAAGGACTGAATTCAACCTAAAATGGGCTTTCTTCTTACACATTTGATCTTAATGGAAATACAACAGTGCAACACTACGTTTCAAGTTATGGGTTCTGGCAAAGTTACATATTTTTTCATTCGGTAGTTTCTGAGAATATACTGTTCGAAAAATTTGGCCTTAGCTCCATTAGTAATAGTAGTAAGATACATGTATTATTTTTGGCTCAACACCTGTTTTGTATATTTTTGTGTTGAATTTACTGATAAACGTTGATCAAAGACAACGCCTCTCCCCCCCCCCACCCTCACACATACACAATAATAACTTGGCAGCTGGCTAGGACACTTCAGCTTTGGAAGCTACCAATATGTGGGGACTATTTTCTCGCTAACTTTATCCACTGATATCAGGCGACCCCCTCCTCCTTCAATCGCAAATATCTCGACTTCTATTCCTGAAAAATTGTTTTTTTTTTAAAGTTTTGTTTCAGTAAGAGTTTAACTGCACTTGCAACACAATAGGGTCATAAGTGCCGAAGAATAAAGGTGATACAAGAGAGTAACAAACACAAAAAAGGAGGAGGAGAGAGAAGGACGATAGTTTTTATAGGAAAGAAGGAGCTAACCACACCAGAGCATCCGTCAACCACCCACGAAAAATGAGTACAGTTTTCATTTCAAAGAAAGACAAATGAAAGCTTACTTTAAGATTACTCCAATCGCTCCATCTTAATTTACGGTATGCCTAAAAATTGACAAGCGGACTATTGCACCATGTCGTGATAATAATAATTATAATAATAATAATAATAATAATAATAATAATAATAATAATAATAATAATAATAATATTAAAAAATTAGACAGCATTTGTACAGCGCAAATTTCCGTTCAACAACAAGCTCTATACACTTTATAATCTATATATAAATCAGCAGACATCTTTATCTATCTATCTATCTATCTATCTATCTATCTATCTATCTATCTATCTATCTATCTATCTATCTATCTATCTATCTGTCTGTCTGTCTGTCTATCTATCTATCTATCTATCTATCTATCTATCTATCTGTCTGTCTATCTGTCTGTCTGTCTATCTATCTGTCTGTCTATCTATCTATCTATCTATCTATCTATCTATCTATCTATCTATCTATCTGTCTATCTATCTGTCTATCTATCTATCTATCTATCTATCTATCTATCTATCTATCTATCTATCTGTCTATCTATCTATCTGTCTATCTATCTGTCTATCTATCTGTCTGTCTATCTATCTATCTATCTATCTATCTATCTATCTATCTGTCTGTCTGTCTGTCTATCTATCTATCTATCTATCTATCTATCTATCTATCTATCTATTTTCAGTGAAAGTTCATCACGTTGGTCGCCTAAACCTCAACTTTCGAATCTGAAAAGATAATGATGGTTCAGAATCATTTATAGGGTGCACAGTTTTAATGAGGAGTCTGAAGTCACTGCTGTTTAATTTTCATTAAAAAATAGATTACTTTCGTTTAGATCTAATCTTGGGAAAGACCGTCTTCTAAGACGCCTTTGTACCCAAGAGAGGCTTCTGTTCACAAGCAGAGCGAACTGACTGCAAACTGACTTGACGGTCGATTCTTTTGAGTCCATTCATAGAACGGGTACCCAGAGAGTACACAATATAATACTCACGTTGGCTCTACACTCTATATAGGGCAGGCCATAACAGGTGTAGCAGGTCACGAACAAGAAGTCGTCGCCATCGTTGTATTGTGTGAAACAGCTAGTGTTGATTGGGGCCACTGACCTCACACGGGGTGTCGGGCAGGTCGAAGGTCATGTAGGTCATCCAAGCAAGTAAGCAGATGGGGAAAAATAAGTAAATAAATACATAATAAAATTAAAAGAAGAAAAAGGGTGACAATTGGGTGGTTTTGGGTTGGGGGTGAGGGTTTAATCTAGCATCTGCATTTGTCGCGGGCGCGATCCGCGAGTCGCGGCCGTGATTTTGGGCATTTTTTTGTCCGCGAATCGGGGCCGCGATTTTTGCAGGACCCCCCCCCCCCCCCCCCCCCCCAAACAAAACCACTGTTAGGGAATAAAAATATATTAAAAAAAGAAAAGAAAAGAAAAGAAAAAAGAAAAGGAAAAGAAACTGAACCTCTTTACTTTTAGAAAGAAAGTTTATTTTCACTTCAGCTTCACTTTGTCTCTTTCTCTCGTGTTGACGCCACGTTGATTTGTTATTTCATACTTGAAGAATATAAGTAGATTACATACTATATCTATTGCTGTGCTTCTTTTATTTTCCTTCTTTTTTGTGTTTCAATTTGTTTTTGTTTTAATTTTTTTTTATTGTTCTGATGTGTTGTTTTACTATTTTTTGTTTTATAAAGCGTAATGTCATTTAATTTGATGTTGTTCCTACCTTTCATCATAATCCAGTGCCAGATCTGCGACAGACATCGACGATCATGGTTTTCCATTCATTCCTTTGCTCGGATGCTCTAAAAAAAAGCTACGTTTCCCTGATCTTTCCCTGTTACCCATTGTTTAGGTTCCCTAAGTATGTTGTTCTGGGCCTACCCCTGCCTCGCTTGCCCTCAATTTTGCCAGTGAGAGCTAGATGTTCAAGACCCTTATGTCTATTCAGATGTTCCAAAAACTGCATTTGTCGTTTCCTGATTGTTTTTAACACTGAGCGTTCAAAGTGGGCTTTATCAAGCACTACCTCATTTATTGATTTCTTTTCCTTCCACGATACTCTTAGCAGTCTCCTAAGAAACCAAATTTCTGTTGCTTCTATTTTATTTTCACTGTCTTTAGTGATTGTCCGGCATTCACAGCCATATAGACGGGTTGACCAAACAAAGCATTTCAGGACTTTCATTTTCTTTTCATGTTTCTGTTTTTCAGGATTGGGCTCGTTTTATTGAAACTAGCCTTAGCCATTGCAGTTCTCCTTTTTATTTCTGTGGAACATTTGGCATCAGATGTTATCATATATCCTAGATATTTAAACTGTTGGACGATTACAACTAGGATTTGCTGCTTTTTGGGATATTACCATGCATTCTGTTTTCTTCACATTCAACAATAATCCTTTACGTTCACTTTCTGTTACAACAGTATCTAAAAGCAATTGAAGGTCCTTTTCGGAGCCTGATATTAAAACTGTGTCATCTGCATACCTGATGTTATTAATATTTTCTCCATTTACTTTTAGGCCTAAACATTCTTCTATGTTTCTAAGGATTGTTTCACTGTACATGTTAAAGAGGTCTAGTGACATAACACATCCTTGCCTCACTCCTCGCCTAATCTGCTTATATTCACTGTATTCTCCGTTAATTCGTGCAGCAGCGTTTTGGTCCCAGTACACATTTCTGATAATTCTTAGATCTTTTCCATCTATGTCTAGCTTTTCCAGTATTTTAAATAGCTCATCATGTCTAACTTTATCGAACTCCTTTGAATATTCTATGAAGCATAGATCTAGATCTTTCTGAGCTTCAACACGTCTTTCCATTAACATTGTTAAGGCGAATATAGCATTTCTGGTGCCCTGTTCCTACCTTTATATATATATATATATATATATATATATATATATATAAATGTGTTATGTTAGAGCGTGTCTCCACTGAAACCGCACACTGACATTGTGTGTGATTTCATAATTTACATGTAATATCTTGTAGGCCTACTTTTTCTTGAAGTGCACACGTTTAGGGTTAAAACGGCTAATTTACGGATAGGTGGTCACGCACTTATTTGTTTATTTCTGTGGTTGTGTATGTGCTGTTCTAATTTTGATTCGATTCTGTTGTGAAGTCTTTATTTTACATGTTTTTACACTCTGTGTGGCTACAAATGATATTCGGGATTCTGCACAAGAAATTGTGGTGCCTTAGATTAAGTTACTTATATCAATAAATTGCTATATATTCGTCGTCACAGAGAGATGAAAGCTTGAAAATTAATGGCAACTTTCATGGCAACTTCTGCCACTTTTGTGGCAACTATTGGCAACCTTTGGACAAAAAAATGGCAACAAACGCAGATGCTAGTTTAATAGGGAAAAGGGCAGAGGAAATATAATGGATAGGGAGAAACCACAGATTTTTTCTTGGGGAAGGTAATTTGGGGGGTTGGGGGGGGGGGTAAGTTGAAGGACAATGAGCAGAGGAAATGGGATAGATGGGGTGTGAAAACAAGGATTTTTTTTTCTCTCTCTTTCTCTCTCTCTCTCTCTCTCTCTCTCTCTCTCTCTCTCTCTCTCTCTCTCTCTCTCTCTCTCTCTCTCTCTCTCTCTCTGGCAGTGCGTTAAAAAATGAACCCACAAACTGACCACACAACACACCATCACATCCCTCACCGTAAGATCTGAAAGGGCAGAACAAAGGAGAGCGATCTTCCCCCACGCCTTCCTCATTCTCTACGGTCATGTAGTAGCCAACGAAGTCTTTGGCCCTAGGGTCCTTCAAGACCACTGTGATATTGTACTGGCCTTCCTCTTCGAAGTTTTCCTGTTCGAATTGGGAAAGAACAAACAGAGTCATTGTCTTAATTTTCCCCACCCCCACCCCCACCCTTTTAAGTTTACCTGGATACCTGGAGGTGTCATCTCTGACTCAGAGGTTGACTTGTAATGAATGACCCTCCAACTTTCACGGTCGCAAGCTGCCGCTGCACAGTCATCCATATTCAGGCCAGTCCATGTTCTTATGTTGTCCATCCATGTTATTGTTGCCTTCCCCTGGCTCTCCTGTCCCACATCTTTCCTTCAAGCACCTCTTTCACAATGATGGTCTTGTGCCGTTTTAAGTGGAAATAGTATTGTATTTTCCTACCTTATATTTCATTCAGTAGGGTTTGACTTATTCAGGCCATTCTATGGTAGCACCACATCTCGTTTATTTTGTTTTCTTCTTTCCTTGTCAAAGTCCAAGTCTCTGTGCCATAAAGGAATATGGGGGAGATGCAGCATTCCAACATTTTCTTTTTTATAGTGAGAGATAGTTGCCTGGATTTAAGTAGTTTGTAATTTGGCTGAATTTAGTTTTTGAAGTTGTTGTTCTTATGTCTATTTCTTTTTCACTTCTGCCATCATACGTGATTGTATGTATGTATGTATGTATGTAGTATAGGGTTTTACGGCGCTCGCAAGTGCTGAGGCCATATGAGCGCGCGAAACACAAGTTGTTTACTTTCGCAAAAGTTCACAGCACGATTGGTTAACTAATTGACTTTAAAATGCTAAAATGTTAAAATATTAAAATTCAGTGTAAATATATTTGTGATTTAAAACAACTCTTATAGGTAACAATAAAAATTTTAAATAGTACGTTTTCATTTTTCATTTTACAA